GTCCTGGTGTCTCAGACCTGTTTCTGTAGGACATGTCCTGGTGTCTCAGACCTGTTTCTGTAGGATGAGTCCTGGTGTCTCAGACCTGTTTCTGTAGGATGGCTCCTGGTATAGCCTCGTTGTCCCAGTCACCTTCTCCTACCTGAGAGCCTCAATAGAGTCCGAGGTCTCACACTGACCTATGCCCTTTGCCTACTTTACCAGAGTTAATGTTGGGACTATTATGACTGTAAACAAAACATTAAGTTTAACTAAGTGATTAGTTAAACAGTTTTATTCTGATGGTACACGCACCAGCTCAAAKATCATTATCAGTGATGTTATTAAACTTAAACTTTCTACTTCAGGTCTGAATTTGTCTTTTTTTCATGTTTTAAACGATTTGCTTTCAAAACAAATGCAAATCTTCACGTTCAAGTTAAATTCTTAGAGTTATTAGACTGAGGCATTCAGGAACACCTTGATAATCTGAAAGGAAGATCTCAGCAGGTCTTAAGTGTCTGATTGTTTATATCTGTGAGTGTCCCTGGATTTTATCCAACAACTAGAAAAAATTATCARCTGTGTCTGGAAGAAAGCAACAGCACCTGAACACACCTCGAAAAGGCCTAAAATGCACAAGAACACACTGCAGAGACAACAAAACAGTGCATGAGCGCACCACAAAAGCCTAAAATACACCATAACGCACCAGAGACAAAAACCAACAACACCTGAAAACATAAAAAAGGCCTAAAATGCATTTGAATGTACAATAGACTCAAAAGCCAACAACACCTGAACACACCACAAAGAACCAAAACCTGAACGCACCACAGAGACAAAAAAACCAACAGTACCTGAACACACCACAGAGACGAGACAGAGATGAGWCTCAGAACTGGACAGAAAGCTGTCCTCAGTGTTAAACCTAAACCCAAGTGTGATCAGTTTTAGTTTTAATAACATTAAATGGATCACTTCTGCGTACAACGTTTTATTTTGAATAATAAATAACATTTAGAGGTCAGGTGGTTCTGGTTCTTATTCAATGATTTTTAGTTTCATTTTTTTACAAAACACWAAAGTTTGATTTTCAACATTTTTCTTTGACTTCATTTTGATTCAGTTCTGTTGATTGGATTTGTTTCTTTTTTCTGGTTGAGCCGATGGTTGATTCTGACTGTTTCCTCATCTCCTCCTTTCCTTGTCACCTTGTCTCTTAGGACCCTTAAGATCCAGGTGGATGAGGAATCCTGTTCAGGAGAGAAGCTTTCAGGCAGTGGTGGGATCGACCTGTGGAGGCCCATCACTGAAGGTATTAGGGCCTGAGGAGGGCCCGTTGACTTCCTTGGCCTGGAGGGGGGCCCTACGGGGGCCATACAGATTCCTTCAGATGTGTTTAGGGAAAATGTTGAAACGTTCCTGTTTGATTTCCTGCTGGTCTCTGATCATCTGATGGCCGCTCTGCTACTTTCTCTCCACATGTCAGTGTGTCACAGCGGGGGTCTTGCTGGGCATCATAGCAGGAGTTTTGGTAGGCATCATGGCGGGGGTGTGGCCWAATTTCACTCACAGATCAGCTGACAGGTCTGATGGTGGCATTGCTGCTGTTCCTTTAGGAGTTCATTAACAGACCCATCAAAGCTGATCCAAACACAACACAGAGGATGAATTACAGACCCCTGGGGGCCCCTTGACGGGCCCTGTTGGCCCCCAGGGGCCCCTGTATCTTTCTGTTGGCAGAGTTTCTAATTGCTTCTTTCCTCTGATGGATCCTGTAGATCTGACGAAGATCTTCAGAGTGACTCTGAGTAAATGTTTACACAGTGTGTGTGTGTGTGTGTGTGTGTGTGTGTGTGTGTGTGTGTGTGTGTGTGTGTGTGTGTGTGT